GGACCAAAACCGGACGTAAGTGGACGTCCTCGAAACGTCCGCCAGCGAACGTTACACGGCGGACCAAAACCGGACGTCCTCAAAACGTCCGCCAGCGAACGTCTAAAAGAGGACCAAATGCGGACGTAAGTGGACGTCCTCAAAACGTCCGCCAGCAAACGTTACACAGCGGACCAAATCCGGACGTCCTCCGAACGTCCGCCCCCGAACGTCACAAAGCGGACGTACTGCGGACCTAAACGGAGGTTCGAAACGTCCGGGGGACGTCCCCTGTTTGCTGGGGTTAAATTTGAATATAAAAGACTGTTAATCCTTGGTCTGGGATGCGAGGCCTAAGCGGTCTCCGTGTCTGTGTTTGATTATCGGGTTTAGAAGAGAAATAACAGCTGTACCAGTGATGGGATTTCGAGATCTATAACCTCAATCGAATATCTCTTGCCAGTCTTCGGCAGAGTTGGAAAGTCAAGAAAAATGTTGTTGGTCAATAGTGAAGCTACTGGATTATGTTCGCTTTGTATGCGCACAGGAGCGTTTCATTTGACGTGGTTACACTAATGGACTGATAATTATTCCTGAACTCTTTATTTACCCATAAGTCAACAGGTTTAGATTCGTTGAGTTAGTCTGGGATTTAGAGTTCATATTTTTGGTTGGAGACTGCTGTAAGGAATATAATTGCAGAGGTCTTGCTTCAGTCGTCCCTGACCCCTAATCGGTTTGGACATGCTGTGGGTCCGGGTTTGATCGCTGCACATCACCTCGCTGCACCGCAGAGCCGAAAAGATTGACACAACGCGGTCCTGGAGCGCCACACGCCTATTGTCCACACTGCGAAAATAAAGACATTCTCTTGAAAGCAAAGCAAGACACATGCTTCATTGCAGTCATATTTAAATTCTTACCCCCCCCGCCCCCATGCATGAAAAATAAACATTTTGATTTTGGGGAATAAAAATTTCAATAAATAAATAAATAACAGATAATATACTATAAATACAATCATATTTCTATCATTTTAAAATATAATGTCATAATGTAAATATCAGCACATCTATGTCTTGCTTTTGTAGCTGCACTACCCTGACAGCTTTTTTTTTTTTTTTACTATACTACAGAGCATGTTGCTAACAGGCATTCCACATATCATGAATAAAACGCGTAAACAAACAGGCAACGGTGCAGAGCGATATGGAGAGGAGCCCGAGGCACAGAGCCCCCCTTTACTCGGGCTCCTGGCTGTCCCGGTGCACCAGCTGATCAAAGCCCGAGTAAGGGGTAATATTTCTCACTTTATTACCGGAGTCACAGCGTGTCTGTACAGCCGGCGATCACACACTGCTCTGCCCACACTAACTCAGTTCATGTAGCCTATCGTAGCTATATAGGATGACTAGCCTACATGCGAAAAAATACACTAAAACACTCACTCTCTTAATATTAAAACAAGTAATTTGCTTTAAGATGACATTTTCAAATTGCATTTACGTTTTTTTCTGTCTGCAGTCCAATTTTAAAACGAATTATTGAACGACTTTTAGGAATGAAGCATCTAGCCTATATCAACACACAAACAAACGAAACGAAAAAAAGTCCTAATGTTTTAAAAAATATATATTAGTCAAATTAACATTATGGATAATTTTAGATAATTCCAAAAGATTGGATTATTACTCATTTTTTATTTTTTATATATTTTTTTGCATATCACCTGCGTCACATCACAGGCTGTGAACTTATTTTCCCAAATGCATTAATCATGACGTGAACAACAGAAATGTTTGTCTAGACTCCAGACGTTTTGCCTTTTAACAAATTTCAAATGAACCGTTTCAATATGCACTTGGCTGAGATTTGATCTGCAACACAATTTATGTCATGATATATTTCTGAGAATTTTTACCGTATCTATAAACCACTAAGGTAACATGAACGGTTTGATTCACTCGCTCGCTTTTTATGTTTCTTTTTCGAAAACGCTTCTGCGCTAAGAGCATGCGTAATGCAGCGAGTGTAGTTTGACAGGCATTTGGTCTCCCAGCGGTGAGAATTTTTCGATCGATAGCTCCCTCTAGCACTGCTCCATCTCCAGACTCGCCGTTTTTTCCATTCGGTCAGTAGTCCACCTGACGATGCCACTAATTGAAAGCTTTATTCCCATCATGGATGAGTCAGCATGTCAAATTATCAGTCTGCTAACGAAATGGATACATTTGTAATTATGATCATTTATCTAGATATTAATGAAACTTCCCTCGTAAAATAAACATGAAATATAGAAGTTTAATTGTTTCAGAAGTTCTACCCAAAGTGGGAAGCAGATTTTGTTCATATAACCTGCATATGAGATTTTTCATACATGATAAACGAACGAAGGTCACTTTTAGGTTATTAAAAAGTTACAAAAATTACATTTATGGAGTTAAGAGTAAAAGTATTTGCAAATGATTTTTAACTGTTAACATATAATACCATAATGATAATCAGTGTGAGAAAATTATTTTTATTGTGCAGTAATAAAAATAAGTTTTATCTTCTAATAATGTGATAATATACACTAAATATGGCCGAAATAAGCTGAAATGGTGGTGTTAAGAAAAATATATCCACGGAATTTTTGTTGCACCGATATTAAAAGATTATTGTATAATGATTTTTTTGTTTACGTTCTATATACTTGAATATACTATATTGAATATACTCTCTATATTCAACTCTCACTCTCATTATTGCAGTCGAAATATCCAGTGGATTTGCATGCCCTCCAAACTGGGAGAAAAGACTAGTTCAAAGGAGATACGGGGAGGGGTGGTGGCCGCATAGGCGACTGCAAAAGATGGAGTGTGTTCATCTTTTATCTGTTATTCTTCGTGAAACAACACATGTCATCCAAGGGTCCCACAGTCAAAGAGGAGCGCTCCCTAGACGCTCATCGGCAGCTGTTTCTGTGTGTTGTGTAAGACCCTTTGCTTCCATGGCGTGGACCAGCTCCACTATGCCGTTTTACATGAGACGTGGCCGATATGCACAAAGTTGCGTGGTATTGATTCCAGATTCCAGACTGGAACGTTTGCACAACATACGCTGACAGAATGTAAATAGCTAAGATTGTGAGGTTGAGGGGCGTGTGTGTGTGTGTGTGTGTGTGTGTGTGTGTGTGTGTAAGTTGGAATGACCGAGTCAGTTTATGGTGGTGAATGGTGTCAGTGTCACACATGAAGGCAAAGGTTCAAGAGGTTTGAAATGAGATTAGGATCTTGTACGTGTCCTTTAATGATATTGAATTATTACATTGATACAGATATTCGCTGTGAAAATTTCAGATGAGGTTAATGTGCATACAGCAAAAACGAAACATTTCATATTAGTAAATAATTCTTGTACAGAAAATATTGCAATAATATTACACACTGAACACATTTGTTATTATTATAAAACATTAAAAAATAAGATAAAGGGTTATAGAGATTGAAAGATTTAACGAAATTATTGTCCATCTATACAAGGAAACAAACCAATACAATCTGAAATTGTTCTAAATTCAATAGCCCTACACTATTTTTTTATTTGCAATGAAATGTAGCCTAACTATAAGCCACATATACTTGAAGAACACGATGTATATTGCTTAAAACCAGAAGAACGGACTTAACAGATCTAACAAAACACCATAAGGTGTTTGGACCATTAGAGGCTGCTGAGGTGATCTAACATCCTGTAAAGTTTAGAGCCCTCTTGTCTTTCACGTTCTCTCGTTTAACAAAGGACCAGTGGAGGATGTAGCCTATAGTTCGTAAGTGTCTTTTCGTTGATTGAATGACGTAGTTTAAAAGGTTAAACAAACTGTCTAATTGTCAAAATGAATATAAAGAATAGCTTTAAAAGTTAGTTTTTAAAGCTGCGTAAAATTGCATTATTGTTTCTTACTGTACTAGGAAATAGAATGGCTATAAATTAGATTTAGTGTCAGCGAAGAAATGAGCTCTTCGCATTAAAGTTCTCGCCATAGACAAGTGAACGTATGATCTTCTACAGCAAAATACGTCATTATTTTATGGCATAGCCTACTTCATGAAGGTTTCAGGAAACATTCTATAAGTTGTCTTGATAGTTACATGTCAGATACAATAAAAAAGGTGAATCATATTATGTTTGCGCTGTTATTCGATATAAAATGAATAAAGAAAGAAGTAGCAATGCATATTCCAGAGTAAGCATCCTTTTCTTTTTAAGAAATAAACGCAACCACACACAGTTACACAACAGTTTTCACAGCATGACGTGTCCTGAATATCTTAAAGTAGGTTATTGACACATCTACCTATGTATAAACAATTCGTAAATTATCAGATATGTACCTTATCAAATGTTCCGCGGATCCACCAGAATGGACGAATATTGGAAAATGACGAGATAAATAAAAAATAAAATTTAGGAAGACTTTCGAATACCAAGTTCTGTTTTCTGACTCTCCGCATTAACTAAGATATGACAGTTTCTGGGATTTTTGACAATTGGTGTCTTCTGTTCCCTATAAATAGCGCGGAGTGTGCCGGTAAAGCGGCGAGGGGATAGCTAATGGTTACTTGAACGGAAAGCCGCTGATTGGCCTCGGCCCGGAGTGACGTCAGGAGGCTGTGAATAAGGCTGGCTCTTGTGCTTTCAGGAACATGCAGAACACCGGAGGCTGTTGGGGGATCGTATTCAGTCCTGCAGCGAGATGTCACGCGCATTCTGTTCACACTAGCATCTTTCGCCTCTTCTGTCTTACCGAGGAAACAGCACACGTTACTGAGGGAGACGCACTTTTCAAAGCGTTTGGCCATTGCATCTTTCAGAGGGACGTACACAGTGGATACGTGGACATGGTAAAGTGCACTCTAGTGTCTCTGGGCTCGCATGTCTCGTGTGCCAGTTCCGTCCAAGACCGGTTGCATTAGATGTTTGTTTATGAAAGACTTTAATGCACATCGTCATCAATGCTTCACCTTGTTTTTGACAACGGCGACGTGCTTTTTCCGCAATGATGTCCTTGTCTTTGTAGCCAACGAGCAGTTGGTGTTTTGAAAGATTTCTCTATGCTTGCTTCATTTATGCATCACAAAATTTGGCAAGGAAGAGGATGAGAAATAATGACTGACAACTGAAGCACTACCTCATGAGAAGATCCTCTTTTATCATCTTGATTTTGGACCGCTACAGGTCCATCCAAATACACAGAAGTGGTGAATATAATTAAAACTTCTTGATCTTTTCCTTTCGAACCTGTTCGCAAAGACTGACTTGGAGCATCCTTCAGCGTTACAACACTTTCCCTTCTCTCTTTGGAAAGAGAGAAAACAGGAGCAGACTCTCAGGTTGTGGACACCACGGCAGTAACTGTGGGAGCACATCCAAAGACAATGGTCCACTGTGCGGGCTGCGAGAGGCCTATATTGGACAGGTTTCTCCTTAATGTTCTGGACAGAGCATGGCACATCAAGTGCGTACAATGCTGCGAGTGCAAATGTAACCTAACAGAGAAATGCTTCTCTCGAGAAGGAAAACTGTATTGCAAAAACGACTTCTTTAGGTAAGCTCCTTGTGTGAATTCGACTAATAAATATTACTTTTTTTCTGCTCTGCATCTATTACTGTGATAGATGGAAATATAATAGTTTATAGTACATAGTATGTGCTTCAGAGATACGGGTATAATTGTCTACAAGAACAATAAAATAAGTTGGCAATATTTTTAAACATCGACAACATACAGATATAACGGGTTGTTTTGCAGCTATGAATAGATTAAATATTATTTAATATTTTGTGTAATTTACCGTTCATAGGTTATATATAATTTCAAAATGACAGTTAATTTTCAAAAGAGGTTTCACTTATTTGAGAAGTAGCTTAAAACATCAACATGCCTCAAATCACCCATTTCTCAAACACTCAAAAATATTTACAGTGCTACTTAAATTTAGAGAATTTTCTTAAACTTAAACAAGTTCAAAATGCTGTTAAAGCTTTACAAATCGCATATATGTATGCAATTTTGCATGATTTCATTAGAATTTAGGGCTTAAATTCACACTAACATGAAGTGTGATCCTAAGTACTGTCAACACGACCGACTTGTTTGATTCTTTGATTAGGACGCCCATTAATTAAATGCTTGTTAATTCGAACTGTTATGCAAAATGACGAGCAGATACACTAATAGTCTGTGTACTCGTCCGCAGCAAGGGTTTTGCAGGAAATCACACTTTGTTTACAACGAATGGCAGCCAGGGAAGCCACAGGGATCAATGCTTTGCCAGGGTAGTTGAAAGTGTAACGCGGCCCAGTGGCAGGCTGTCTGCACAGCCCATGTGTCTGCAGTGGTTTGAGTTAAGATGTGATAAGTGGATTCGAATAATAAACGACTTTGAGATGGAAACCCTCAGACAATGTAATCACAGACTCAGAATCAACAATCTGTACAGAGAATCACAATACACATTATTGGTCACAATTAAGTGGTGAGTATTTACTGCAGTGGTGTTTGTATTGGAAGAATATACATGTCCTTTTGTTACGGGGGATTATTAATTATGCTTTAACGCACATTAAAATACATGCAAAATAATTCTAAATTATAAGTATTATAAGTATAATTTTATTTAGGCCTACAACAGAAAAAAATGTGTACTAATACATACCTACATTTTATTTTAATTTGCGTTAGTGCATAATCCATGACAATAAAACAAATAATAATTGTGCTAAATATTATTCAATAAAATGACAGTGATGATAATATTAAACATTTACGAACACTCTTTTTATATACACTCAAATATAAACGATGCTATTCCATTAATTTGGTCTGGTTTGGAGCTTTAGATTTTTTAGCTGATGTGTTAACGTGTTATAGTGACCTTTTTTCTTGGTCTGTTCATTTGCAGGCGCTTTGGAACAAAATGCGCAGGTTGTGCTCAGGGGATCTCGCCGAATGACTTGGTCCGGAGGGCACGGAGCAAAGTGTTTCATCTGAACTGCTTCACATGCATGATGTGTAACAAGCAACTATCCACGGGGGAGGAATTGTACATCATAGACGAAAATAAATTTGTCTGTAAAGACGATTATTTAAGCAGCACGAACGGAAAAGACACCAACCACCTTTCAGGTGAGTAAAATGAATGGAATGATACGAGAACTGAAAAAGAAAAAATATTTTGCACACTGCAAGCGCCCATTGTTTTGCCCATATTATCTCGCTTTATCAATAATACTTAATACACTCGATACGATTAATAAGGTATCTTTTGATCTAAAGAAAAAGAAACATGAAAATATTTGACTAATATAAACTGTGCTGTCTTGAAGTCCTTTATTCAACATAATGTCTCACAAAAACATTATTTTTGTTCTTAAAAACTAAAAGAAATCTTCAGACGGTGTCATGCATAATATATTTTGAAAAGCATTTCAATTTTTATTCCAAATTCCGTGTGAAATGAAATACAGATTTTGCTGCATTCATTTTGTGGCCTATTGCTAGCCAGTTTATTTTCTATTAATCTTTTTTCACTGCTGTAGACTAGTGCATTATGACAGTTCCGTCAACTCTACGTACCAGTGTTTCTTTGTTCTTTCTTTGTTTATTCCTTTCTTTTGTTTTTATTAAATCTTGTGTTTCTTTCTTTTTATTGTTTCTTTGTGTTTATTTATTTATTTTACATTCCATTGTTTAGTGTCTAAGACTTCTCTGGTCCCCATGTCTAATTCTGAGGTTTTTATTTCGACCCCCTGTTTCCGACGGCCCTTCTTTCCCCCCATTCAGTTACAGCTTGCAGTGATCCTAGTTTATCGCCAGATTCGCAAGACCAGCTTCAGGACGATGTTAAGGATGCGGAAAACGCAAACTTATCGGACAAAGAGACGGGTAACAATGAAAACGATGACCAGAACCTCGGAGGCAAACGGAGAGGACCGCGTACCACTATTAAAGCAAAGCAACTGGAGACACTGAAAGCGGCGTTCGCGGCGACCCCCAAACCAACCAGACACATCAGGGAGCAACTGGCGCAGGAAACGGGGCTCAACATGCGAGTTATTCAGGTAAACTTACACATTATTACAAAAAAATAATAAAAATAATACATATATAAATAATTACACTAATACTAACAAACTTTATTTACTGGTAACCTATAATTGCTACGTTTGCTGCTAGTAATTTTGAGGACAAAAAGAGATAGGCCTATAACGAGAGTTTATATAGTGTGTGATTCTTAGACATCTTGTGGTACAAATTTCTCTTCCTGGATGAGACATGAAAAAGCAGACATGCGCCTTCATTGTGCCTGTTCTTTCCAATCCTTGAGGCAAGACTATTTGAATAGAAATTAGGACACTTTTTTTGCTGGCACCTGTAAATATTTGGAAGTAACATTTATATGGTTAGCCTTTTTATACTTGACTTGAGAGATGGAGAGGCACGCCAGCTGGCATCAGACTGGTGAGAACGATGGGAGTCTTGGCAATGCAGCCCCAACACGTTTTGCGACCACATTTAGACATGCTGTGACGGTTCTCAGTCAAGTGGAAACGCAGAAATCTGTCCCAGTGTCTGTCAAAGTACCTTGTACTAGGTGGTTTTCTACGAGAAATTGAGAATCGATCCTTGCTTTTTTGTCGAGTGAACGGCAAAACAATGAGAGTCCAGCCAAGGCGCGCAGCACACTGGCGAATGTGCGCCCTCATTTACGCACGCTACATGGGATTTGTCAGCATCGTTTTAAAGAGCCTCATTTTGGTATTTTTTTCGGCGTGAGAGATCCGATAAGAACACAGATAAAGCATCATCAACATTAAACGTCTCGTAATAGATTGGTGCTGTGGGGATAAAGTCTTAAAATGAGACTGAACGTAAGATCAAGTGCAGTGAATGGGTTGAGATTAATACAGTGGCGAGGTTGGATATTTAAGACCGTCAGAATAAACTATAATTAGCAAAAGGAATTCAAGGGTGGATATATAGATTACGAAATAATAACTGCACAGAGCCGGTTAATATATCGGTAACCACCCTCCTATTAAGTATTAATTATAGATTTGAAGTCCCCGCTGCTGCCCCCTCAGTCGGAGTAAATGGAGGGTTAAAAGATCATTAAAGTGAGGTTAGATCCGTCTCTCTAACGGTGACGATAATTACGTGTAATCTTGTCACTATAATACGAATGTGTTCAGTCACTTCACAGGCCTACCACAGTAGACTGTGAAGACACTGCTCTGAACCAATAAAAAATGGTAAACTTGACATGTAAACATTAGGCCATAGTGTCAGACTGTTAGGTTTCCAGGTAGGTTCTTTTAATTTAATGCACCACTCTTATCTTATTTGTCATTGCACTCACTGTAAAATAATAATAATATAATAAAATACAAAGTGCAATTGCTGCCTTAAATTTTCAAGTCAAAATGGTGCCAAATGCCGTTTGCATTTCTGACCACTTTGAATTACTAATAAATAAATCTGAGTGACTAATAAATAAATCTGAGTTGACTCTCTCAAAACTGTAAAATCAAGTAGAAATTGCAGAACTGATTGTGACAAATTAAATGGGTGGAAATAAAATTCTGACACCATTTACACAGTGCAGAAAATGTATCGGTCTCATACACAAATAGGTTAATAAGACTTAAATGTTTTTATTTTGTTAGCTGATAATAAACTTTTTGTTTTTTTCTTAACAGTTTATGTTTATCCATGTTGTTTATATAACTAAGCACAGAGTCGCACTAATAAACTAATACTTATGTAATTATTTCGTGAAGCTGCATACAAACAATGCACACTGATATTGTTTTTACCATTGCAATTGATTGTTGTGACGTGCTCCACTATCACTCTGACACTGTTCTGTAAAGTGTTACCGATTTTAGCACACCATTTTGATAAGCTGTTAATAGATTTCTGTTGCTATTTGTCCATGTGCACTAGGTATGGTTTCAGAACCGGCGGTCCAAAGAGCGGCGCATGAAACAGCTGAGCGCGCTCGGCGCGAGGAGACACGCGTTCTTCCGGAGTCCGAGAAGAATGCGAACGCTCGTGGACAGACTCGAGCCTGGAGAATTAATTCCAAACAGCCCGTTTTCATACTATGGAGGTAAGATATAATGGCGTATTGGAGACGTATCTATCTTAAACATTTGTCTTAAATAGGCCTATGTATTTCTTTCTCGCGCTGGTTTCATTCGTTACGCATCAGAAGTGAAAATGGTTGAGTTACGCGACGGATACACGTTCAAGATGTTTTTTTTTATTATTCGTTTGTGTTTTGTTTTAAATATTTAAATGGTCTGCAAATATAAATTTTGGTTTTGTAATTAGACTGGGCTTCTGAACGTGGAAAATTAAAATTAGTAATCTACTGGCTATTTTTTCATGTTATCCGTGTGTTTGATGCTTTAATGTTTTGATATCGTCAAACAATTGATTGATGTTGTGTTGCTCTTTGAAGAACTTTTGACAGCTGCTTAGCCGTTTCGTCTATTTACTTCATTTTTTTAATCCACAATGGCGTGCATGTTCCAAGTGTTTTATTTCTAGTTTAGTTATGTTACACACACACACACACACACACATATATATATA